TATATATGTATATATGTGGAAGCTCTACCTTGACTGCGAAATCAACCAATGACTGCCCAACGTTTTGTTAAATCAGGGTGACTTTTATTCACCCGTGGATTTTTTTTTTCTCGTTCTCTCCAGTTCAACTCCTTCTTTGAATTTAATGAACGACTGGAGGCCATTTTAACCAAAGCCTACATCTACAGGTCAGTATATGGTCAGTGTGTTATTATTATTATTATTATTATTATTGGACTTTTATGTGCATATGAAGTGTATGGACGGTGTGTGTGTCCTCACAGAGTGATCCGCACCACCACCTACCTACTGTACTGTCTCCACATTAACGCCAGTCTCTACTACTGGGGTTCTGCTTTCAATGGACTGGGATCAACAAAGTGGGTGTACAACGGCAAAGGCAACAGGTGGGGGAGACAAAAACACACTTACACTAGATGACGCACAAATACAGATATTTTAGTGTAGTGTTTTGACTGTATTAGTACCTTGTTCTTTAGGGTGTAAGAAAATATTGATGCACTGAAATATAGCCATTAGGGATGTCCAAAAAAACTGTGTGAAAAAAAAATTCTGTCATGGGAAAAAGCAATCGAAATCACTGCACTTCACTTCCTTCACCACCAGGGCACCACTGCCCCCCCCCCATAACTGTATCGGTAGATATTGGAATCGGAAATTAAGTTTTGGAAAATATCGACATCGGCAAAAAATATCAGCTCCTTCTAATCACGATATTTTGTTTCACGATTCCGCATTGATATTCTACGACACTATTGATTTTTTTTATTAACGATGTAACGTGCAAATCTCCCTGGTGTTGGTTCATTTCTTTTTTTTTCTTTCTTCTCTAGTGATTCCAAACGTAGATCCCTCTGTTCCAGTGTCAGTAACCTGATGTTCAGATGGAACAGCATCGTGTATTTACTACGTTTATTTATTTTTTCCAGTTACATCCGCTGTTACTACTACGCGGTGAAGTCCCTGATCACCATCGGAGGACTCCCAGACCCCACCACCCTGTTTGAGATAATCTTCCAGCTGATCAACTACTTTGTCGGAGTCTTTGCCTTCTCGATCATGATTGGACAGGTACATATGTCCAGAACGGACGCCCTCTTGAGGCATCCTTTTTGCAGAGATAATTAAATTGAATTAAATTTCTGTTTCCTCCAGATGCGTGACGTGGTCGGTGCAGCCACTGCAGGTCAGACCTACTACCGCACATGCATGGACAGCACTATTAAATACATGTCCTCGTATCGCATCCCAAAGGACGTCCAGAACCGCGTGAAAACCTGGTACAATTACACCTGGCAGTCTCAAGGCATGCTGGGTAAGGAAAGCGTTGTATGTGGTTGAAGTTTAACTCCTAGGATTGAGCTTGAAGCTAACAGGTGTCGCTGGGATTCTTCTCTCTTCTCTGTGCAGATGAGCAGGAGCTGCTGAATCCGTTCATAG